TCATCAATACAGGGTAATGGATACTTACTTTTTACCTTCACTCGGTTGAGTTTTCTGTAGTCAATACTCTGTAGTCAATACACAATCGAAGAGATTCATCTTTCTTCTTTACAAATCGAACTGACGCACCCAAGGGGAATGGCTGGGGTGAATAAATCTTTGCCCAAGAAGCTCGGAGAGCTGGTGTTCAAGTTCAACAAGTTTGGTGCGACTCATGCGATAATTAGGCTTTGAGATTAGTTGAGTTCCTGAAAGCAAATCGATGGAGAATTCTATTTTTCGTAGAGGAGGTAGACTAGGTAATTCCTCCAGAAAGACATTTGAAAAGTTGCAAATAGTAGAGATTGTATATATGACAGGGTCAACATCCATATTCCCATTTATTCAAGGGTTAGAGAATAGCAAACAAAACCCATAAAATTTTATTTCATTTTTGGTGAAAGAAGAGTTACAATTTTACTTTCACAGTTAATGATTGCTCTATATTTTTCTAACCAATCCATACCTAAGATGACATTAAATCTTAAGAAATTTAAGAGTATAAGATCTACTAACAATTCTACTCCCTGAGGCTTTTATTTTATAATTTTTATACACACAGTGAGCTTCTAAAAGATCTCTAGAAGAAGTATCTACTGCTAATACTTCATTTAAAGGTTTAGGCTTAATATCTAATTTATAAGCAAAAGAACAAGAAATAAAAGAGTGGGTAGCACCTGTATCAATCAAGGCTCGAGCAGTAGTATCATAGATAGAAAACATGTCGTAAATGACAAAAAGAGTGGTGAGAGCACCAGGCTCATCAAAATGGTAAAGACGACCCTGAGCTACTAGTCTGGCAATATCTTTTGTCCGCTGGATATAGTTTTTCACAAAGTACTGAGTGTTTCCGCACTTGTAGTAGACATTGTTCAAACGTTGACAGGGCTTATCACCATGAAAACATCCACAATACTGACATGGTTGGGTAGGTCAGGTAGGGTGTTTAGTAGGTGGAAGCAAAGTAACAGGATGGCCAACTCGGGGTCTTTTATTAGGGTGGATACTAACTAGGTCAAACAATCTTCTTCTTTGTTGTTGGGATTGGTGTTATTGTTGTTGGGTATGAATACGGACAATACATTGGTGCAGGGTCGAAATAAGATCTTTGACCAACTAGACATGTTTCAGCACCTTGTCATAAGAGTTGGGTCTCAGGATCATGATCCCATCGTAAATATTAGCATGAAGGCCGTTTAAAAATTTTCTAACTTTACAACTTTCAGGGGTGACCATTAGAGAGGCAAACTTAGACAGTTTGATGAATCGGGCTGCATACTACACAATCATCATATTTTTCTAGTGGAGGTGCCATTATGGATATTATAAATTCCTGGTCATACCATTTAGACTAACCAATGATCTAACAGTCTTTATGGATCTCATGAACCGATTATTCAGGCCAGTTTTAGATAAGTATATTATAGTATTCATTGATGACATGTCCACTCTCAGAATCTGACTAATCATTCAGTCCATCTAATAATGCCTTGGGAACATTACAGTAGAACAAGCTATACGCTAAATTTAGCAAGTGCGAGTTTTAGTTTCACAGTGTAGCTTTTCTATGACATATTGACTCTAGTGAGGGTATTTCTGTCGATCCATCTAATATAAAGGCAATCTTTAGTTGGAAAGGGTCAACTACTATGTCAAAAGTTCGAATTTTTTTCGGGCTTACTAGTTATTATCGAAGTTTTGTGGAGGGTTTTCTCAAAAATTATTGCTCCACAACTCGATTGATCTAGAAAGAATCCAAATTTGATTAGAACTCCGACTGTGAAGAGAGCTTCTTAGAGCTAAAGTGTCATTTGACCACAGCTCTTGTTTTGACCATTTATGGCTGCTCTGGTGGTTTCACAGTTTACTGTGATGCATATGCCTAGATTTGAGTTGTGTACTCAGGCAGCACGGTAGAGTAGTTGCTTACGACTTTAGACAATAAAACACATGAGCTCAACTACCTTATATATGACCTTAAGTTTGCAGCCATTATTTTTACCTTAAAGATTTGGCGACATTATATTTATGGTGAAACCTTTGAGATCTTTATCGACCACAAGAGTCTGAAGTATCTCTTTACCCAGAAGAAATTGAATTTGAGATAGAGACAATGGTTGGACTAACTGAAGGACTATGCTGCAGTAATTCCTATCATCCTGGAAAAAACGTAAGTATTACAATCATATAAACAAGGTTTAGAAACAACCCTTAATGCAGTAGTTCATAAAAATGATTGAACCATTACAGAGCAATTAAACTTTTAAAGAACACTTATAAATTTATAGTGAGACTTTCCTTTCAATTTCGATTTCAGAAAACTCCTGAATACTCTTTTTGATCAATAATTGTACTATTCATTTTTACCAAAGCCATTCTGATCAATACAGTCTCAGTATAATCAATACGATAACAATCAGTTTGTTTTATCATTCCCATTTCATAAGGTTCCAATACCGTGTTCCACCAGTCAACACATGCACACAAGACTCAGACTCGACTCAGACTTGCCCTTGAAAATTTTAACACTAGTTATTAACTTGTTAAGTTTCACAGTTTACGTACCTAAGTGCGTAGTCGCCTAAACCTGTACCATGGAGGGCAGTAAGGACACCGTTACCACTGTGAAAGGGGATCGTAGTCATAATACTAAATTACAAATAGATAAGCATACAGTCATAATGTCACTCATTCACTTCGATCGCCGTCACTCAATTTCGCTCAGTCGCCATCATTTAGACCCTTTTCAGAATAATTGTTTCATCTCTCATCAGAGAGGAACACAGTACAGTCCAACTCCCTATGGAGAGGACTCCAACATCAACCCAGTCACAGTGTAGGGCTCCAACAGTAGACAGTAAACAACGATATAAATAGTAACCCCTCCAAGGCATAACGCAGACGGATTTTAACTAGACTCTTTGTTGTTTGAGTTTTACTTGACACTTAATTTATTTATTTTTAGACACATGACCCTAACCCTAATCTAGACATAACCTCCTTAACTCTATTTCACTCATTATTCTTTCTTATGCGGGAGGGTATGGAAAGGATCATTTTGACTCCCGGAACCTCAACCTAATTGCATGCAATATCAAAACTTAAATCACCTAATTAAAATCTCTTCCTTTAATTGAATTTACAACCCTAAAATTAGGCATGTAAAGACAAAAATGAGAAAAAAAAGAGACATCACGGCTAACCCGATAAGTCGATCGCAACTCCTCGACTCAATCAAGACTTCAGCAAGCTCACTTATCTTGGAAGAACTTGAAGAAAAATAAAATTAGCACTCGGCTAATTTAACTAAAAGCTAAAAGCTTTGATTTTTATTAATTCTCAAGATGTGTGTTAGGATGCGTGAGCTAAGACTTTTATATAGGATCTTAATTTCTAGTTCTGCATATAATAAGATTTACGATTCCTACCCATATTCTAATTCCTAATTTAATTGAAAACCAAATACATAATTAATTAAATAATAAATTTCTTATCCTTATCCTAATTTAATTAATTAAATAATTTTAGGATAAGATTTACATTAAAAAATATTAAATAATAGTCCCATTATCCT